ACCACACATTTTTCAATAAAATAATATTTTCCATCACATCAATAATTTTTTCTTCTTTTTCAATCACACATTTTCCATCATATCACTATTCAAAATCAATTCTTCCCCCAAAAATCTCTCCCAAACAAACTCTATGTATATTATTCTTTACACTTTATCACGTGACAATATATTATTGAATAGTTTAAAAAATAAATAATTTTTTCTTCAATCATTTTCTAACAACACATCAAATGTAACGTTGGAATGTACATTTAGCTTGTGTTTGACATCCATTTGGGGAAAAAAAATGAATTTTGAAATAGTGATTGATAGAGAAATGTGTGATTGAAAAGTAATGAAAAGTTTTAAAATTATGTGTAATATTATTTTATTTAAAGAATGTGTGATCGAAATGAAGAAAGAGAAAAAAAATGAGAATGAAAAAGAGCGTCGAATAGGGCCTAAGCATTTTTGTGGGAACAAAATGCAAAGCAGTCATATGTCACCATGTCACACTCACATCCATGTCACAAATCCAATTCCTCATTCCCAATAAAAAGGTAAGCTTTTCATGTTTAATCAACCCTACAAGTGATTTCTTTAGGAATTCCTCTAATTATTTACAGTGAGGTTACTTGTACATCAAGATGTACATAGGGGATTACACCCCCTTCACATGGGGGGTGGGACCTACTCGAATAAAAAATATTATTCAAGTGGGTCTCACCCCCCATGTGAGGGGGGGTGTAACCCCTTATGTACATATCTTCATGTACAAGTAGACTAATTCAATTATTTAACCATTATCTAATCCAAATACCATACTTTGCAACACGTTGGTGTGGTTAAAAATTATACTTATATCTTTTTAGATTATTATAAAAATTAATGAAATACGTAATTAAAAATTATGAATTTAATAAAACGTGTGCTTAAAATGAATTTGATAAAGAACGAACTTTAAAAAAATTGAGGCCAAATAGGGACGTATTAATGACTTTTTCTTTCTGTCATGTCAATTAGTTGTTAGCAAATTGTTCGATGGAAATATAGGCTTTGTTAAGGTTTTCTAAATGGGTTCAAATTGATCAATTCAATTCAAATTTGTTCAACTCTTTAATATTTCAATACATATATAAAGTAATTTCTACATCCATATACTAGAATGTTAACTATAAAATATGTTTTGACTCTTTACTGCTATATTTATCAACGTTAATCTATACTAGAGGTAATAAAAAATTATTTTTACGAAAAGAATCTTGCGCAGACCACCATAATCACGTGTTTACACGACATGAAATCAACCTCTACGTCATATATTTGTCATTGCTATCTCTAATCTAATAGATATAAAAAGTCGATCGGTTTTCTCCGTAAGCTTTAATTTTTATTTATTTTTTAAATTGAATCTACGAGTCCAATTCAAATTACACCTACACTAACTTATAAATTCGCGAGTTGTAATATTGATTATGGTGCTTCTTTTTCATATTAGATTTTGTAATAAAAAAAGAACTTTTTTGAGGAACGTGTAATTAAAATAGATTTTTTTTAAAAAAAAATTACGTATAAAATTATTTTATTGAGGGATATGTAGTTAAAAATAAAGGGGAAAAAAGAGTTTTAAATAATATAATTACTTTTGAAGTTGTGATTTAGCATGGCAGGCAGCACATCATTAAATACGCTGATCACAAACAGAATTAATGTTGTTAACATCAATGATCTTAGTTAATTATAATTTTATTTAATTATTTTATAAATACATTTGTAGAAAATGATGATTAATTTGATTTATACATATACCTATGAGTAATGCTATTCATCCTGGGAGGAATAACATTACTCTATACCTATATATATCAGGTTAGGCTGGAGTCTTGTATCTCTCTCTATCTCTCTCATCACACCACCTGCAAATGTTACTACTACTGTAGTGTAGCTGTGAGAGGTTGTTTCTCTCTCTCTCTCTTATATATATAAATGCAACTCTCTCTCTGCTAAGATTATTTTCTCTCTCGAGATTTTTATCTGTATCGGTGTATGTATTGCTGAATTTGCCTTGGGAATCATCGGCTGCTCGGTAGATGATTTTTCCAGGAAAGAATCAGAGGCCCAAGTCATGTTTTTTTATCCTCTATAATGGGTTCGTTTCAGATTTCAATTTTCGCCCACTCTTTTTGTCCCCTTCTCGGCATAATATTGAGAAAGTACAAACAAGACCCATAGAGATAAACACAGAGGGGGAAGGAGAGAGAGAGAGAGTGAGATAGTGTTTGAGAGTGTGTGTATAATTTTGTCTTTAATTTCTTCTTGTATCTTTCTACCTATTATATATATGACTTTGTTTGCATGTGCAATGTGTTTTGCAGATTCTCCTTCTCTCTCTGTGACTTGTCATCATTTTTGCGCACCCATTGCCAGGTGGTGAAACGCCCTTATCACGATTCGATCTATGCCCCCTGATCATATCGTTATTGGACTCCATTAACACCATAGTTATTGTTATTCAGACTCTAGCCACTGATTGCCATCCTTCTTTTTGTTCAAGGATTGGTTATCTGTAACAATCATTATGGATATCAATCTTTTCTGGGCTGCTGAAACGACAGCATCTGAAGTCTTAAACAGTCTACCGGAGGCCTTTCGAGGAGTGCCCATATTGGAATTAGCCACAGTTTGCATAAACTTGACACTTTTTCTTGGTTTCTTGTTACTTGTCTCTGCAAGGCACGTTTTGGCGTGTTTCGACCGGGTTGAAGTTCGAAAAGAGGACTCAAATGAGAATACAGTGGCCTTAAGGCACAGAGGAGCTGTTGAAGATGAAGAAATTCAAAGTGTTGTGATTGGTAAAGACTATAAAGCTTCAGTATTTTGTTGCGCTTATGTTTTGTTTGTGCAAGTTATGGTATTGGGGTTTGATGGTGTTGGTTTAGTGAGGGGGGCTGCAAAGGGAAACGGTAATACTTCAGATTGGACAATTATATTACTTCCTGCATCTCAGTGTTTAACTTGGTTTGCCCTCAGCTTTTCAGCGCTGTATTGCAAATACAAGGCTGCTGAGAAATTCCCATTATTGTTGAGAATTTGGTGGATTGTTTCCTTTATAATCTGTCTGTGTACTTTGTATGCTGATGGTAAAGGATTTCTGATAGAAGGGTCAAGCCATTTCAGTTCTCATGTTTTGGCAAATTTTGCTGTTACTCCTGCTCTTGCTTTTCTATGTTTTGTTGCAATTAGGAGTGGTACTGGAATTCAAGTGTGTAGAAACTCTAACCTTCAAGAGCCACTGCTTCTCGAAGAAGCAGGGTGTCTTAATGTTACCCCTTATAGTGAAGCTGGCCTTTTTAGTTTGGCCACTCTTTCCTGGTTGAATTCACTTCTTTCCATAGGGGCAAAGAGACCGCTTGAGCTTAAGGATATTCCATTACTTGCACCAAAAGATCGTTGCAAGACGAATTATAAGATATTGAACTTGAATTGGGAGAAGTTGAAGTTGGAGAATCCTTGTAAGCAGCCTTCTTTAGCTTGGGCAATTCTCAAATCTTTCTGGAAGGAGGCTGCTTGTAATGCAGTATTTGCAGGAGTAAACACTTTAGTTTCATATGTGGGTCCTTATATGATTAGCTACTTTGTGGATTACTTGGGAGGGAAGGAGACTTTCCCGCATGAGGGCTACATTCTTGCAGGAATTTTCTTCTCTGCAAAATTAATAGAGACCTTAACAACCCGGCAATGGTATCTTGGAGTCGACATTTTGGGAATGCATGTTAGATCAGCTCTCACAGCAATGGTATATCAGAAAGGACTTAGGCTTTCAAGTTCAGCCAGGCAGAGTCACACAAGTGGGGAGATCGTTAACTACATGGCAGTTGATGTGCAAAGAGTCGGGGACTATTCTTGGTATCTACATGACATATGGATGCTTCCTCTTCAAATTGTCCTTGCCCTTGCTATTCTATATAAGAATGTCGGGATTGCATCTGCTGCCACATTGGTTGCCACTATTATATCCATTGTTGCAACTGTTCCATTGGCAAGGGTTCAAGAAGATTACCAAGACAAGTTAATGTCTGCCAAGGATGAAAGGATGAGGAAGACTTCTGAATGCCTTAGGAATATGAGGATTCTCAAGTTGCAAGCATGGGAGGAAAGATACAGAGCTTTGCTCGAAGATATGCGAAGTGTGGAATTCAAGTATCTCCGGAAAGCTCTTTACTCACAGGCTTTCATCACATTTATTTTCTGGAGCTCCCCTATATTTGTTTCAGCTGTCACTTTCGGCACTTGCATTTTGTTAGGTGGTCAGCTTACTGCAGGAAGCGTTCTTTCTGCTCTGGCTACTTTTCGGATCCTGCAAGAACCACTTAGGAATTTCCCTGACTTGGTTTCAATGATGGCTCAGACCAAAGTCTCCCTTGATCGAATTTCTGGATTCCTGCAGGAGGAAGAGCTGCCAGAAGATGCAACCATCGTTTTGCCACGAGGTGTTACAAATGTGGCCATAGAAATCAAAGATGGCGAGTTCTCTTGGGATCCATCTTCTCCAACCCCAACCCTGTCAGGAATTCAAATTAGGTTGGAGAAGGGTATGCGTGTGGCTGTCTGTGGTGTGGTGGGTTCTGGAAAATCCAGTTTACTTTCCTGCATCCTCGGTGAGATACCGAAAGTCTCCGGCGAGGTAAGTCTGAGTTTATAACGCTAAAATTCTTTCTTGTCAACATTTTTTTTTTTTTTAATCATTTACTATGAAACATACCTTCTCTAGGAATTTGGTTGGTTGAGTCTTATGCTTGATCCATGGGTGTTCTCTTTAGGTTAAAATTTGCGGTTCTGCAGCTTATGTCTCTCAGTCAGCTTGGATACAATCAGGAAATATAGAGGAAAATATTCTCTTTGGGTATCCGATGGATAAGGCAAAATACAAGAGTGTTCTTCATGCCTGTTCACTGAAGAAAGATCTGGAGCTTTTCTCGCATGGTGATCAGACCATTATTGGCGATAGAGGCATAAACCTTAGCGGTGGTCAGAAGCAACGAGTGCAACTTGCTAGAGCACTATATCAAGACGCAGACGTCTATTTACTTGACGATCCGTTCAGCGCTGTTGATGCTCACACTGGTTCAGAGTTATTTAAGGTTTGGACGTTGGTTTGAATAATTTCTTTTTGCTGCTCAAACAAATATTATTGGGCTGAAAATATCATTGTGCAACTGCAGGAATACATATTGACAGCACTAGCGACAAAGACTGTGGTATTCGTAACACATCAAGTTGAATTTTTGCCTGCTGTTGATTTGATTTTGGTATTTATTTCACACCAAACTTCCTTCTGTTTCTTATGTTGTGTCTAAATTTCCCACCAAACTTCTAGTTTTCTACCTTTAGTTTTGGACCTTCTGGTAAGCGTCAAGCAATTCTCACTTAGAACAGTACTTGAGTTGCTTTGTTTCCTTCCTCAAATGTTAACTGCATGAAAATAGAATGCAGTTATTTAGGTGCTGTGTATGATCCCCCATTTTTATTTTTTTGGAAGTTTCTGGATAAATACTTCACAGAAGGGAAAGATTGAAATCCTTGACTAAAAAGATTTTTTTCAACTTTGAAGAATATATATTAATGTCATGTCAACTCGATACTTCTTTAGTTGTAACAGAACTCCTAAATATTCAATCTGATTTGTTAATATCTGATTAGTGATCTGAGCAGTTAAATCCTTGCCCCAACCCCCTAGGCACCCAGGCCTCAGAGCATGGCCCACCATCTCATCTACCCTCCTGTGAGTTTGCACCGTTCTTTTCCCTGTACCTTCTTTCACGCTCATCTGGTTGAGTTTTTACTTCACAGGTGGCATTGTCGTCTACATATTTAATCTCTCTCTCAGATTACAAACACTTTTTCAGAACCTAATCCATATGCTACAATCTGAACACCCATTAAAAACCCCAAAGAGGATTTAAGACCGCAGGTACAAAGTGTAGTTTAATTATGATTTCTGTCTAATTGTCAGCATCATTGTAGGTTTTGAAGGAAGGCCGTGTTATTCAGGCTGGGAAATATGATGAGCTTTTGCAAGCAGGAACAGATTTTAACACATTGGTCTGTGCTCATCATGAAGCCATTGAAGCTATGGATATTTCCAACCAAGCTTCTGAAGAATCAGATGAAAATAATCCTCTTGATAGGTCCAGTCTCATGAGAAAAAAGTGTGATCCAGTTGCTACTAATACGGATGGCATGTCAAAGGAAGTTGAAGAAGGTACATCGGCATCAGACAAGAAAGCAATTAAGGAGAAAAAGAAAGCCAAACGTTCTAGGAGAAAACAACTTGTGCAGGAAGAGGAACGGGAACGAGGAAGAGTCAGCATGAAAGTGTATTTATCATACATGGCAGCTGCATACAAAGGGATGTTGATTCCACTTATTATTATTGCACAAACACTATTTCAGGTCCTTCAAATAGCTAGTAATTGGTGGATGGCTTGGGCAAATCCGCAAACCACGGGGGACAAACCAAAAACCAGTAGTGTGGTGCTTATTGGTGTGTACATGGCACTTGCTTTTGGGAGCTCCTGGTTCATATTTGTTAGGGCTGTTCTAGTTGCTACATTTGGTCTTGCAGCAGCACAGAAGTTGTTCTTGAAAATGCTCAGAACAGTGTTTCGGGCACCAATGTCTTTCTTTGACTCTACCCCAGCTGGACGAATATTAAATCGTGTATGCTCATGCTATCCCTTTGATAATTGCCCTTGATACTTTTAGCACTTACAGTTGATAAATTCATAATTTTTTTCTTCTCTTCCATTTTCACACTCTCCAGTTCTACTTCACCATTATGAGGATTTCTTACTATCTACAGGTGTCGATTGATCAAAGTGTTGTTGATCTTGATATTCCATTCAGACTTGGTGGCTTTGCTTCAACAACAATCCAGCTTCTTGGTATTGTTGGTGTAATGACAAAAGTTACCTGGCAAATTTTGCTACTCGTTGTTCCAATGGCAATTGCCTGCCTATGGATGCAGGTAGCAATAGTATAATGCTATAGTTTCAATTCTGTACCTTTGTCAATTTGTTATTTGATGATCTGAAGTTGTGTGTGAGAATGCACGTGCTTGCTTGCAAGCTGTTAGCTATGATGTGTGCATAGTTAACCTTTTGTTTATTGGAAAATATCATCTTCTAACCTGAACTTGAGTATCAAAAGAGATCTGGATGAGCAAGTTATCACCTCGTCATTTGCATCTCTTTACCTAGATTTGTGGTGATCAAGTATCTTTACAAAATGTTTAATTTTGATCAAGAGAAAATGTTAAATTTTGATCAAGTGAATATCATTTTGATCCATACAAATGCAGAAATACTATATGGCTTCGTCAAGGGAACTGGTTCGCATTGTTAGCATCCAAAAATCTCCAATAATTCATCTTTTTGCTGAGTCAATTGCTGGAGCAGCTACAATAAGAGGGTTTGGACAAGAAAAGAGGTTCATGAAGAGGAATATCTATCTTCTTGATTGCTTTGCTCGGCCTTTCTTCTGCAGTCTTGCAGCTATTGAATGGCTCTGCCTGCGTATGGAACTGATCTCAACATTTGTTTTTGCTTTCTGCATGGTTTTACTTGTGAGCTTCCCACATGGAAGTATAGATCCAAGTAAGTACATTGCTGTTCGCCTTTAATGTCAAATGCACATTCGTTAAAGATTCTTGCCAAGACCAAGTTGATAATTTTATTGATGCGTTTGCAATTCTGGGATAAAATTTTCTGGTATTCCAATTTCCGGCTGTGATTTTAATACCGTTATGGAAATATTTCTTCAATATAATGATGGAAACAATATTTTAGTGAAGATATAGAGCAAAAGGTCAACCATTTGCAATCATTAACAAGTCTTTATTATATTTCTAATTATAATCTAAAGTTTTTTGTCTATAGGTATGGCAGGACTTGCTGTGACATATGGTCTTAATATGAATGCACGTCTATCACGATGGATACTTAGCTTTTGCAAGCTTGAGAACAAAATTATCTCTGTAGAAAGGATTCATCAATACTGCCATATACCTAGTGAAGCTCCAGCAGTTATTGAAGATTTTCATCCCCCATCCTCTTGGCCAGAAAATGGAACAATTGAAATAATCGATTTAAAGGTATGAAATTATCTTTCTTATGTTCTTTTCACTAGTCAGAAAAACTTTCCCTATATTCCATCCATTTATAAGAAGTGAAACTGCCTCTTATTCCAATCTAGATATATATCAACACATATGAGGCGGCATGTATTTACATTAATCAGGTTCATTGGCAAAATATCCTTGTAGTTTTCATTGAATGCCTTATTTTATCTAATGGTCAGAAATTGAAGTTACCATTTTCCCAAAAGAAGGAAATAGTTAAAGTTAAAGGACAAAGAAGAAAGAAGAAAGAAAGAAAAAAATAAACGGAACTTCGGGGACATCACAGAACAAGGAACTATATATGACCTAAAGCTATATTCAGGAGACATGAGTTGAGAAACAATGTCATAAGCCAGTGTTTTGAAAGGTGTAAAGCGTGACAAGGCGTGAGGTCAAGCCTCAAACATTAAGAGCCTAGAAGTAAAAGAGTGTTTCTTATTTTTAATATTATTTTAATTATTCTGCGCCTATTATGTAAATAAAATAATGTATAGCAAACAACTAAAATCATAAATACTATAATTACTTAACAATACCTACAATTATACAATTTCCAAATTTTTAAAAACTAGACAATTGAAAATTGAAAGCACAAGACCCTTTTTGAAGTAAATGGGTCCAAGAAATCGTTCGTACTAATTTAGTGCCTAGGCACATTAGACATTAGGTCCAAGAAATGGCTCCGAAAAATTGGAAAAAGGTTTAGAAAACAAAAAACTAAAAAAAAAAAGTAAAAGTGCACACCTTTTGGCGTCTAGGCTCGCCTAGTCCCACGTTAGGCGGTCAAAAGAGGAGTTGCCAGCCTTTTTCCACGCCTTGCCCTTATGTGGGGCATTTTGAAAATGCCTCATGCCTAGGCGGCGCCTTTTCACGCCTTTTAGAACATTGCATAAACCTATGCTGACAAGTTATGGCTTAAAAGATGTCATAGAGCTCCATTTAGCTATAAGTTCTTGTGTGCCTAGTGGTGATTTTTATCGCACCCTAGATTTGATGGTCTGGTTTTTGATTCAGATTGAATATCCCACTGCGTTTTATATTATAAAAAAGAATTGCATTAATTTAAAAACTGAAAACATACCCGAGTAAGCCAGCCAATTGCTCTAACTTCAGTATCATTTCAGATCTAAATCTCTAATTCCATTTATATGTTTCTAATCTCTCTCTCACCTGTCACCATTAAAACATGCCAACACCATCTGATGAGGAGAGTGTGATCCTCTTTTGACTTCCTTTCCTCCTCTTTTCACTCACCTCCGGCCACCTCTCTTCCTAGCCCTCAGCCTCTCCTCTTGAGGACAAAATTATTGGACCTTGAATCTTCACTCCACCTCTCCCCACTGGCTTCTTTGGTTTCCTCCTCCAATTTACAGTTGCCTTCCTCCAAGTTCAATTACATTGGTGGCAATGTTTTGGTTTTTAATAAAATTAACTTTTGGATGAGATTATTTGAACCCAGTGTAGTCGTGGTGCACTAACAAGTAATTTAGAAATAAGTAAATGTATCTCATATTGTTTTTATGTTATCTAGTCTAGTTAGGTTCCCATGATTGGCGTCCTTTGTGAGTTTGCCAATTTAGATGGGAATTACAGTTTTATTAAAATAATAAACGGGAAATGAAATTCCCGGCCCCACCACCTGCCCCACCTTAAGCAGGGATTGGGACGGGGCTAGGGCATGAATCTCTCTGCAAGTCGGGGGATGGAGAGTGCTTCCCTTGCCCGTTGCCATCCTACTCCCCACCCACAGACACAAAAGGGAAAAATGATGGAGGGAAACGATGAATTAAAAGAAGATGATAAAGACGAATTAAAGGACAGTGATGCCTACTGCCCATCTAACATGTCAACTGGTGTGTGAGGGGGCACAAACAAAGGCATAAAGAAAATAAAGAAATCTTATCACTGTTTTTCCAATTGTTGGTTCGTTACAAGGAAAGCCTTCCTGTTGTGCTCCATGGTGTATCCGCCTCCCCCTGGGGGTCAAAGGAAGGCATTAAGAAATAAGGAAATCTTATCAATATTTTTCCCTTTGTAGGTTCGTTACAAGGAAAGCCTTCCTGTTGTGCTCCATGGTGTATCCTGCACTTTCCCTGGTGGGAAGAAAATTGGAATTGTTGGGCGTACTGGTAGTGGTAAATCCACTTTGATTCAGGCCCTGTTTCGATTGATTGAACCAGCAGGTGGCAGAATAATAATAGACAACATTGATATCTCAATGGTGGGCCTTCATGACCTTCGCAGCCGGTTGAGTATCATACCCCAGGATCCAACATTGTTTGAAGGAACAATTAGAGGAAACTTAGACCCACTCGAAGAGCATTCAGATCAAGAAATTTGGCAGGTTCAGCTGTTTTGCCTCTTTCTTTTCATATCGATTTGGATTACCACAGATTTCAATGAAGTTCCATTCTTAATTGGTAGCCAGTGCCCATGCTTTTCTTTGTTGTCCATTTATAGTTGGTGTATTTGGATGACAAATGATCATTTGAATACTTCTGTTTGTCACTCTGTTCATATCTGTTTCTAATATTACTTGCTATTAATGAATTGGCCCAGGCACTTGATAAGTCTCAGCTGGGTGAGATAGTTCGCCAAAAAGAGCAAAAACTTGATACACCTGGTAAGTTTGTTACACCAGTGGACTAAAATCTTGCCCTTCCGTGGCAAGGAAGCCACCTTCACGGTATTTTGAGGACTAATAGGGATTTCCTCAATTGTATGTGATGTTGGCAGTACTTGAAAATGGAGATAATTGGAGTGTGGGCCAGCGACAGCTAGTATCTCTTGGTCGGGCTTTACTTAAGCAGGCAAGAATTTTGGTGCTTGATGAAGCTACAGCCTCAGTTGATTCAGCCACAGATAACCTTATCCAAAAGATTATTAGGACAGAATTTAAGGATTGCACTGTTTGTACGATTGCTCATCGAATTCCTACTGTTATTGATAGCGATCTGGTTCTGGTCCTTAGTGACGGTGAGTTCTGTACCTTTCTGAATTCTCCTCTATATTTAGCCCCTGCTTGACAGCTTTTTTGAGATTGTAAGTTGGACAAACTTCATTTTTAATCACATTTCATTAGACCCGCAACTTTTATCCACTTCGACCATACATTTCATGGGACCCACCAACTTATAATCTCAAAAACCTTTGTTGAACAGAGGTTAAATATTTGGATGGAATAGACCGTATTATGGTTTATATTGTGCTGTTATTTGCTTGGTTATGCTCTTCTATGCTTTTCTTTAGGATTATATTTCTCCTTTCTTCCGTACTTTTCAGGGTTGTTCAAACTTGATATTAAAATGGAGTTGTTCTAACGTGCACGAAAAGAACGTAACTTGCCTACATATGTTTTGCAGGTCGAGTTTCAGAGTTTGACACTCCGGCAAGATTATTAGATGACAAATCTTCCATGTTTCTTAAGCTAGTAACTGAATACTCCTCGAGATCAAGTGGAATACCGGATTTTTGATTTAATGTCGTGCATGGAATCTGGTCGAGAAGGCAAAGAAGAGAGCCAACAGCATCATGGAAGATTAACTGGCTGCATCCCGCAAATTGAAGAAATATTTATGGTAGACAACATATTAACTGGAATGTTTCAAACTGAAAGTCGTTGGTGGGAAATGGTTCAAGCTCGGGTCGATATAAGAAAATTCTTCCCCTTTTGAAGCACAATGGGGAATTCGCTCACTGCACAATCTGTACCACAGTATAAATTTTGGTAAGAAGAGGTGGCTGAACAAATGTGGAGGCAACTGTATTTACACCTGTAATAAAATAGGATTTTTTTGCAGTGCAGAAGATATCGTGTTTTATGTTTTTTAGAACATTAGGGAGTAAAGTAGGGTTTGTTCCCAGATACTAGTTTTTGAATTTTGTTTTATACTTTAGTTGTCTTTCCAAAATGTTGCTGATCTAGGTAAGGATTTATCTTGAAAAGAAAATAAGACCACCCCCTCAGTTTTATCACATATATGATGATTCTGCACGAAATTAAGTCCATGTTTGGTTCAACTGAAAACAAGATATTTAGTAGATTCTAATAAAAGTAGATAAAATATGTGGTTAAGAATGAATTTGAGAAAAAAGAGTTGAAAAATAGGGACCAAAAATAGACTAAGTTATGAGAGAAATGATCTATGCGTTATTGCTTAGTTTAAGCAACAATGAGAATTGTGTATTAATATAGGGTCATTTTGCGCAATGACGTGGAAATAACGGTGAAAATGTCAAAAAATAAAAGGTGATAACGTTTTTAAAGGTAATGACGTTATGTGCTAATTAACCTATTAATATGTTACTATTTATAGCCATCTTCGAGAAAAAATATGCCGCCATCTATTTTATTTTTCATCTAAATGAATTATTCATCATCAATGGATCTCATTCAACTACTACAGGTTCTCTCCACTCGCAAGATAAATAAATTCTTAGATATGAAAGAACGTGTATATATAATCTATAATATATTAAATATCACATCAAGTAAGAATCATTTTTGAACGGTTATAACCCCTACTACAATTCAATTATTTCAATATTGGGCATGTCTGGTTCAGCTTAAAATCAGCAAAATTGGGCTTTTTTACCGTTAGTTTTTAAAAAATGGGGCCCACCCTCTCACAAAGAAGTCAAATTGTGCGGTCATAACGGTTGGAATTCTGATTAGTAGTGGCACCAGACAAAACCTAAGTAAATATAGTATTTTAAAATTTTACATTTTTGGTATGTATTATTTTAATTATTATAGGCCCACCCTCTCACAAAGAAGTCAAATTGTGCGGCTATAACGGTTGAAATTCTGATTAGTAGTGGCACCAGACAAACCCATTAACTTACTTTTCATTTTTCAATATATATTTAATTTACAAACTGTACTAAATTTTATAAAATTCTTGTTCATGCATGTATTCCCCGTTATTAATTTTTCACTATTTAACATTCACATTCACTTAATTAATATTAATTCAAATTTCACATTCACGTCCACATCCACGTCCATGTCCCTATTATGAGTTCTCAATTAATTAACATTCACAGTCATTTCATTAATATTAATCAGAATTTCACATTCACGAATACAGGTCATTATTCACGTCCATATACGTTAATTAACATCCAGTTTCACTTAATTGAATATTAAATTATATTTATTTAATATAAATGATTTAACATTTGTTGTCACATATATATTCATTGGTATTAATGCTAAATTAATTAACATTCATGTTAATTTATATATCGTATTTGTTATTCATCTTCAGTTATGCATTTAGTTGTAATTCTGGTACTCACATTCAAATATTCATTTCACTATTTACGTACATGTACAATTAGCATTTATTTTCAGGAGTTTACATTTCTCTCATATTTAGATCAACAGGGTAAATGAATTGTCAATATTATTTTTAGATCACTTATAAAGTATCTTAGAATAACGTGCAACGCAATGACGATTCTAACCCCCACTATAATTTAATTATTTCAATAATACATCACTTTTCGTTTTTCTATAATTCAATTATTTCAATAATAATTTACTTTTCGTTTTTCAATATTTATTTAACAATTTAATTACTATCAATGTACATGTATTTTGATATATTCATTTCACATGTATGTTTGCATTAATGTATAAATTCCTAATATTAATTAATTAACATTCATATTCAGCGAACTAATATTCATCTTCATTTATGCACTTCATTGTTATTAATTCTAATTATAAGTTAATTATCATTTTACATTCAATAATATATTTCATTATTCACGTCCATGTATATTAATTAATATTCAGTTTTACTTAATTAAATAAATGATTTAACATTCATTGTCACGTATATATTCCCTGATATTAATTATAAATTAATTAACATTCATGCATATTCAAATATTACTTTTACACTAATTACAACCTATTTCATAATAACATGCAACACATGTTCAACATTGATTAGTTTTTACGAATGATACATAACCTTTATCGATATAAAAATTCATAAAAATTAAAGATACTTGAATGGTGTCGTTTCATAATTTACTAATAATCATGTTTGATTGTGCATGTTTGGGAGATATTATTTGAAGTGAAAATGATTTTTTATGAAAATGCGTGGTTAAAAAATAGAGAAAAGTGTTCGTGCAAATTTTGCAAGTGTACGAGATCGTTGACAAGTAATACGTGATGCGTTAAGTGTACCATTACACGAGGACTAAAATTCAATAATAGTGCACTAGTTGTCTATCAAATTCGATATATGTAACACAAAAGAGTTTTGATGTTTGTAATTACCCTATCTTAAGCTATGAAGTATGTAAATGCATTGTTTATATCAAATTATGAGATGAATGTATTAGATATTGATATCTATTCCCAATTCTCAAATTACATAGTTTCGTGTTGTTCAAGTATTCATGACAATTGATAATCTTATATTGTTTAACTTTCTTTTTCAAGATAAATTAAACATATTTTAAGCACAACCTATTTCTATTCTCAATCCGAATTTTTATGCGAAGAAATACATTCAATTACACAACTATCATATGAGATTGCAAACGCTGTAAAATGTTATTCCGAGCACCTATTGCACGTGTGTTGATTATGCTATGTTCTAAGTGCGTGTCTGGGCGCAATTTTAGAATCAAAAATCAATTTTCCTCTCAAATCAGACGGGTCCACTGGACAGCAAACTCTTGCAGGGTAATATTAAAAATTGGCATTGAATTATCATATTATCCTCCAGGCTACTTATTTCTCTCGCCTCAAATTATTGCAACTTTGAGGCGTGTAATGGTGGGGTAGGTGGGGGGGTAAATTGGGAAAATCTAGATTTATGGTCTGACTTGTTGTCAGATTAACTTGAATAAAAAAAGAAAGCAACGGTCCAATTGTTGATTATTAACGGTCTGAATTCAGATTAACCGTGCGCCCAGACACGCCCTAAATCTATTTTGGGTTTTTCTACAGTACAATAAGCAACAAATTATCTAAATGGTGCGTAAGCATTTAAATAATAAAATAATCATGCACAATCAATCATGAATACAAGAAATCACTAAAATACTATTCTTTGAATTATAAATAGATATCCAATGATCTCATCCAATACGCTAATATGTTTAGTCTAGCATATTAGAATACAAATTACATAAAAAAGTATTGAAAATACATTACGCGAAAGAAAGAATACAAAAAAGAACTTGAAACTTCAACTTCTTGGCCTTAAAACTTGAATTTGAGCTTTGCACTTCAAGATCTCGCGTTAATTCATTCATTCGCTCTTGCTAGACGTCTTTTCTATGATAAAAAAGTTTGGTAAACTCTCGTCGACGGCCTTCTTCGGTTTAAAAGGATTCTAGAACATCGTTTCATATGTGATCATATCAAAATAAGGAAACATAATTTTTTCACCTTTGGGACACCCATGCGTGGGCATGAGTGTCAAGCTTGTCCACGCATAGGCAAGCCAATTCAGGCTCAGTCAGGCTACAGAAGGGCCGCGTGCACACATCTCCACACTTTGAATTCCTTGCAATTTGACCCTTTTTGTCCTTTTCTTCAATTCCACCAATTTCATCAATCTTTATCTAACAAACACAATATGCATAGAATTAAGCCACAATTTATTAAAATATATAACAAATAATCGAATTTTAGAGACCTAAATAAGTGTAAAATATACATTTATCAAAAGAATTATGGGTTCACGTAGGGGTGACAACGATCGAGTCAAGCTGGCTCAGCCAGTAGACAATCGGGTTTGGCTTGGTTGAACAAGAGCTGGAGATCGTTTCGAGTTCCAATCTTCTGTTTGACCTGACTTTTTGGTTCATGGGCCTCACGAATTGAGTCTCCCACTAGTCCAAACGAGCCGACTCGACTCTTTTTCATAAATAAATTAATAAAATAAACCCACAATGGAGTATTTTTTTTTAAGAAATTAAAAAAATAAGGTAAAAATGAGGAATAAAAAACGAGTCAGCTCGTGAGCTTGTGTCCAAGAGCTCAAACAAGCCAACTCATGGGAACTCACGAATCGAGCGGGTTCGCCTCGTGAAAGAAATTGTAAATTTGGCAATAGTTTGAGCCATCCGTGGCCAGACGAATTAAGTCCGCGAGCCCATGAGTCGCTCCGTCTATTTGTCACCTCTAGGTTCATGTACTAATCAATATTAATTGAAGAACGCGAAAATTCGAGAAAAAATAATTTTTTATTGAAGAAACGCTAATTATTCTACTAATATATCATTCTAAAAACTTTGTGAAACAACTTACTACTTTCAACTGGAATCGCATTATCCTACACAAAAATCGCGTTTTATAACGAAAACAGAACTGTAGTATACACTCACTTTACAAACCAATTCTTTCCCTTGGCCAGTCAAGTTTGCAGCACATTCCACATTTTCTCTCACTAAAACTCAGCTGGGAAAGAATGATGCAGGCCGTTTCGAGAAGATTAGGACACCAATACATCAAGCAATCGCCTTCGATTTCTTCAATTTACCCTCTTTCTGATCGGTGTACGTGTTTTCTCAACATTTCTAGGGCTACACATTTATAGCCATTTTTTATTTTTGTCAATTCAGATTCAATTAAAAGATTTATGTTTTTGTTAACGATGACGTGGAGTGAAATTTCACGGGTTTTAGATTATGGAGGCGAGAGGTACCAATCTACACTTACCACCAAAGGGGTGGGGCATCTGGTCCGTAAGGGCACTGGTGGAAGATCTTCTGTTAGGTAATTTTCGGCTTAGAGGCCATAAAATTTTGTTTTAGTGGCTGTAAAATTAACTGTTTCAGTTTTATGTTACCGCATTGTTTTTTGCATTTCGATCATTAGGTTGAGTGTGTGCAGTTGTGATGTTTATTTTACTGGAACTCTAGTTAGAGTTCATTAATAACTGAATTAAGATTATTACTACACATTTTTCAATTCCTCAATAGGAGCATTTTCTTTTGGTTTTCAATTTTAAAAATAATGTTTTAGTTTAAATGTGTTGTCATCTTATGCTATAAACTATTTAAACAAATTAATCTCAGATAACATTTAATTCGAATGCTTTGAGCTGAAATTGGAATTTGTTTGTTCGGCAGTGGAATTGTTGCGACAGTGTTTGGCGCTACTGGATTTCTTGGGCGTTATCTTGTGCAACAGCTTGGTACATTACTAGTTAACTCCATTTGATGCTTTTCTGATTAAAAGCTTGTAAATTGTGCTAAAGGACTAATTTATCATAGAATTGACTGTTCTTATGATATGATCCATATTTGGCATCTTGTTCTTCTTGCAGCTAAAATGGGTTCTCAAGTGTTAGTTCCTTTCCGAGGGTCTGAGGATTCTCACCGTCACCTCAAATTAATGGGTGATTTAGGTCAGGTAGATTCTTATGTAGACTTTATGCTTTTTATTAGAGTATTGATTTTGCTCAATTTGGAAGGCATGTGCTTTGGAATCATTTATACATTCAACTATATGCAGATTGTTCCAATGAAATATGACCCTAGAGATGAAAATTCTATCAAGGCAGTGATGGCAAAGGCTAATGTTGTTATTAATCTTATTGGTACATGTTCCTCATTACCTTTTGACACTAGGTAAAATGTTGCATTGGAATTGAGGTACTTATAAACTGTCCTGCGAACAGGAAGGGAATACGAGACCAGAAATTATAGCTTTGAGGAAGTCAATCATCACATGGCTGAACAGCTTGCAATGGTATGTTCCTGCACTTATCCTATTAAAAAGTTTGTGATTAGTTTCAACTTTCCTGACATTATATTTTACTTGTAGACGTACTTTTGAAATGTTTATTATTTAAGTAATGTGAGAAGTGAGAAATAGAGGGGACCCTAAGAAGGTAGAGAAATCGTACAGCACAGATCATTAACTGATGTTCATTTTCTCAGTGTCTAGTGATTCTTCTCTTTCTTATTTTCTTGGTTATGAGTTCATATTTTCTTAAATGATATTGCACCTTCCTTTCATTCTCAGGTCTCTTAGTGTTATCTTTTACTTTTCTTCTCTTTGTCAAAGTGGTCTTTATGTGTGATTTTACTGTTCTACTCACTTTGGCACAACATGGAATCTTTACCTGTGAAATTTCAGTCTTAGGAATAAACGACTCAATATGAGGATTTGAGGAAACTTTATCAATAAAAGATGACTAACTATTCTCTCAGCAATTAAAGGAGGAAAGGTTACTAGGGGACTGCTTGTGGTGGTTTTGGCGGGAATGAGTAGTGAAGGGCTTCAGAGGAATGTGACCAATTAAAGATAGAGAGAAGAAAAGGACGATTGTGGGTTATCAGTAATAAACTACAAGATATAAGAATCCATATAGGAGATGGGCTCCTTGAGGAAGGCAGATGCCTGGAGGGACACTGGACACTGGAGAACTTTCTATTTAATATTTTAACATTTAAGTCATTGGTTCCCTAGGTGAAATTACATCAACTTTTTTACTGGTGATTATGCACTTTTTGTAAATTTATTTATGCTTAGCTTGATTGGTCGCCTAGGTGAGTGGTGACATTGTATTTCTTAGTTTTGTAATGAATGATCATTTTAGTAAGTGATACCTCCTCCCTTTGCATGTACATGTGTGCGATCCGTGGTCTTGTGCCCCAAAATTTGAAGTGGCACGGAATACTTATTTAGACTTATGGTGGTCAACGCTGTTCAATATCTCTTTGGAGCAGTTCAATTAATAACTACTCTTTTATAGGACTATAAGCCTGTAAATAGGAGTTCAGTTGGGAACCATGTCCACCCTTATGATTCATGTGTACCTTTCCATGTCTTGAATAGAAGACAATTTTTGACGAATTTGAGGGGGGGTGGGGGGGATGTGACATGTATACCCTCATTTTTGGCCGCTCAACTGAGGGAGGGAATCTTTATCTGAAAGGCATTTATGATATTTTATTTTAATTGTTTGACTTCAGGTTTCCTATGAGTAACAGATGCTTATGATAAACTATCTGTTTCATCCACATTTATAAAATCTTCTATATTCAGTTCCTCTTTCTTTTTCTCACATTGATAAGCATGAGACTACATAGCTATAAATGCATCTTCCTTGTGCAGATTGCTAAAGAACACGGTGGCATAATGAGATTTATTCAAGTTTCTTGTTTGGGGGCATCTCCATCATCTTCATCCAGATATCTGAAGTCTAAAGCAGCTGCTGAAGAAGCTGTTTTACGAGAACTGCCTGAGGTTAGTTAAACACACTTTTTTTTTTGGTTTTGTTTTGTATCATATACTTTCCTTGTGATTGAGCAACTATTGCTGTTACTTGTAAATCTTTATCATGAATTATATGCTCTTGCCAGATAGCTATTTAGGTTTCTATTATTGTTTTTTTGTTTTAACCTAGATTTGATAAATACTGAGTTGTGGGGACAATTGAATTTAACACAATCTCCTGTCAACTTTCTCGTGTTAGGTATTTTATTTATTATTATTTTTTTCACAACTTCGAATCATGTGTCAGGTAATTTTTTTTCACGACTTTAAAATTTTGAGCGCATGTTGTAGATACATGGTTATAACCTTCTCAAATTCTCTTCCTTGCCCTTTTTTTCTGGAAGATATTATTCTGACATTTTACCATTTGTTATAGGGAGAAAAGAACGAAAGGTATCGTATCCACTTTTCCTTGGCTGCAAGTTTGCATTTTCTTTTTGCAAAGAAACCTTCTGTTTGGCAATAGTCATGGTTGTATATTTTAGGTTCAATTATCTGATGCCCAAAATTATTCTTAGCACATCCTTTATACTGGATCAAGATTTCATTCATTTAGCGAAGACATTAAGCTTTGATTCCTTTCCCTTCTTTTCTTTCTTCTAATGGCCTACCTTGTGAACTTCAACCTGAAAAATATATCCTTAGGAAGTACAAGATCAAGGACAAGGAAAATAGAATTTTGATTAATTGTCTCTCCCTTTTCTTTTCCTCTATCTAACCCTACTAAAACGTGTCAAATAATCAGGATTTTATTTGCTTTGGACAGAAGTATGAGATCCTTGACATTTTTAGATACCCTTTTGATGTATCTGAACAATCATTAAGGCCCAGTGGTTGAGGCATAGCAGGTTCTAGTCTTGTAGGATGGGGAGGACAAAATGTGTTTTCTAAACTTGTATGCACAAGTCTTTGCTGTTCATATTGATGAAAACGAAAACAAGTAAAAGGAAGGCAAGAGAAGATTTTGAAACTTTGACATGAAGCATGATTAAAAAATAATCTTTGAAATGAAATGATAGTGACAACTTTAAAAGCATCTTGAATCTTATTTGTCAAAACAAGGTAGTCTTGTTGTTCCCAAGTGAACAAAACTGGTCTCTGTTGGACTTTTCAAGTTTTGCACTACATTTTTCTTTTAATTTATTACTCATAGTCCCCTGAGGGCCACTGAGGTGAGTACCCGACTGTAAACTTCAGGGGCCCGTGGGATTGGTCGAGGTGTGCGCAAGCTGATCCGGACATCCACGGTTATCAAAAAAAAATTTATTACTCATTTCTTTCTCAAATTTCCATAATCAAACTATTTTTTTATGAACTTTTTGTACAGCTTTGTTTATAGTTTATTATTGATGTCAATGTGGTTTACTTCGGTTATAGATTTGACGTAGTTTATATTTTTTATGATAGTCCATCCTGCATGTGTAAAACTCTCATGATTGGACTGATTAATCTGTCTATCATCTTCTATCAATTTCTAGGCCACAGTTATGAAACCAGCCGTGATGATTGGCACAGAGGATAGAATTTTAAATACATGGGCGCATTTTGCCAAAAATTACAGCTTTCTCCCACTTATGGGAGATGGATCTACCAAGTAGGACTCCACGACATATAGTTTTATGTGATACACATTTTTTGGATCTCTGTTGAATGTGTTTCTGATGATTATCTCCTGCAGGATTCAGCCTGTATATGTTGTTGATGTTGCTTCTGCTATTGTCACTGCCTTAAAAGATAATGGTACCAGCATGGGAAAAGTTTATGAACTTGGTGGACCAGATATTTTCACTGTCCATGAGTTGGTGAATATAAACTCTCTCTTTTCTTTCTAATCCTCGCCAACCATGCCATTCTGTTTGTTTTCCTTTAAAGTTGCAGTCAGTAGCTGACTTTGAGTTGTGGTGTAGGCAGACCTTATGTATGATGTGATCCGTGAATGGCCTCGGTATGTGAAGATTCCTTTTTCCATTGCTAAGGTACGTTCATTTACGGTTGCATACCTATGCAGTATATCTTTGTATGGTTTTAGCTAAGCTCTCTATCTGAAGCTGCATATAAGAAATATTTTCATTTTTAGCTCGTGCTATTAGCATCTTGTTTGCTTTTCTTTGTTATGTGGCACGAATTTTTTGTGACCTCCTATCCTTAGATTGACGAGGGACAAGATATCAAGTTTCTTAATTGACGATCCTGTTAGTCTATATAAGAAGGCATAGACTGTAACAAGAGTTTAAGAGAGATGCTTGTAAACAATTTGGCCAAATATTTCCATGTTGACCTTTGTAAAGGAAATCATTGATTTTCTAAAAGTTCAGACATGAATTGATTCAGGATCAATATGACGAGTTTCTCCAATAAAATCTCATCATTGAGTTCTCAATAACTGCAGGCAGTTTATTTTAGTTGTTTAACTTCATGAATAATGAGATCCACATATTTCTCCCTTCTCTGGGTAAGTGCTAGTGGCTTCAGGTGCAGTCTACAAAAATCAGGTTTGAAATTGAATATCTTATAATTATTCCAACAAAAACCTCTATGAAATTGAATTATTGGTCTCTGCTCATGCCCTTGCCCTAGGCATTTGGAGAGCTAGATTTGCCTTAACTATTTGTTTGTTTCTTCTTTTCTGCACAATCAGAAATAAAGAAACTGTTTACACCTTCTGGATACGCTTTGCTAAGTACAGCTCAATTCATCTGAAGAATTCACATAGTACTTTTGAGAAAAAATCAATCTGCCCGTTTTTGTACATTCATTCAATGAGAAAATGGGACAAGTTGTTAAGTGAAGGCTATGGGGCCTAAAAGAAATATGTAAAACATTAGATGAGAACTTTTTGAGTTTTTTCTCAATATTTGATATGAGCATGTTTCTTGAAATGTCTATTGCATTCTAGTTATGAGATGATGAAAAACAAGGGGTGCCTAGTGCATATGCCAGCAACGAAAATTTTTACTCTTTTTTTTTCCCAACATTCACCTTCCACTTTTCTTATTGGACATCTTATAGCTGGCATGAACCTGTGTTTACTTGAAGTAAAAAGACATCCTTGCAGCTTTCCCTGTATGATTGTTGAATCATCTCATGATTACTTGTTGACATGTCTGGTTTTCAGGCTATCGCAATGCCTCGAGAAATATTGCTTAAGAAAGTTCCTGTCCCGATGCCTATCCCTGCCATCTTCAATCTGGACCTGATTGAAGCCAATTCCACTGATACACTGGTGTCCGGAAATGGTACGTGTCAGATTTAAGAATTATGTTTGCTCCTTGATTAGTTTTACTTTTCTATAATGCCCCTCTGATCTTCCTATACATTTTTGGCAAAGCTTTTATTAGATTATAAGCTGTGTCCTACACACACTAATAAGTGGGTAAAAGTTGTGGATTTTGAGGAATGTGTGGATAAAAGTAGATTTTGACCAGCTTATAAGCAATTATAAACTTTGCCAATCATTTTGCAGCACTCTCATATAAATTACCCAACCAATATTTTTTGCTTATGCAGCTTTAAAATTTGAGGATCTTGGGATTGTGCCACATAAACTGAAGGGGTATCCAGTCGAGTTTCTTATACAATATCGTAAGGGTGGTCCACAGTATGGTTCTACAGTTAGTGAAAAAGTAACCCCCCAGTCATGGTCTTGATGTTCGTCGGTTCTTTAGTTCTGCAAACTTTAGCTATCCTTCTGGAAGCTTTGGAGTCGGTATGTGTTGCCTTCATTTCCTTCGGCTGTGAAATTGCTTGCCACCTCGTATCATTTCTGATGAAGAATCAAAGAATCAACTGACATCATAGTCTATAAAAGCTAATAAATTCATCTGTTTAAACAAGGTTGAGATTGTCCATTTTCAAGAGACGAACTTAGGAAGAATAAAGATATGTGGGATTCTTCTTCAACAATTCCAATATTCGCAACTTATTCTAGAAAACATTAAGATTGTTTTTTAATGGTTTTTAAGCTTTTGTGTAGATTGTTTTTTGCATGGTCATTTGTGCCTTTACTCTTTCTTCTTTGATCCATTTGCTCGTGTTTTTAACTAAGAGCTCGTTCGGGATTCGGTAGAGATTTTTTGAAAAATCATTTTCCCCAAACTCATTTTCATCCATACGTTCTCCAAACAAGAAATCATTCTTCATGTGCCTCGGTATCTTTTCTCACTTTTTAACAATGCGTTCTTTAAAAAAAAATTAATTTTTACTCGAGAAAAATCTCTCGCAAACAAACTCTGAATACATGTATGAAAAGAGGAGTCTCAACATTTATCTAGTCGACTTCATGAAATCTTTTTTCGTTACCATGTTTGGTTCATTACAACATGCTAGTTCAACTAGTTTTAGCACATCATGAAATTATTTACGCGTTTAACTATATACCGAACACGAGGGAGAGACATCAATAAGGTTGATTGAGTGATTATTAAGTCATTCCAAAGGAACACTTCCTTTCCTTGTAGCTGGGGAAAAGTAAATGTGGCTCATTCTATAAAGCGAGTCAGTCTCCCAATAGGGAAAGGAAAGAGCAACCATGAAAAACTTCTCCCCCTTGAAATCAGAAGAGAAAACTCATTTGCCAAAATTCGTCGACCACTCAAAGCCACCACAAATCATTTGTGGATCCTTTGAGAATGTCAAATTGGAAGGGGCGAATTTCGGGGCATCTATGATCACTCGGCGTGGGGGTTGCTCCGGTGAATCACCATCCATAAACATTTATATAAACAACGATACACAGGGTATTAACAACTCGATCTTGATTGGTAGTGATGTGAAAATGGGTGATCCTGGTGTGAGTTTGTCTCTGAATGATGTTGAAATGGACAGAGGCTTTCAACTAGTAAGCAAGACTAAGGAATGCAATTTTGTTATGCTCTTTTGTTTGATATTTTCATTTGTACTTGCCATGTTATGTTTACTTGTTTGACTTAGTTTTTCATCTATTTTCCTTTCTCCCCATATTATCTACTAATGTTAGATTTGTTAGCTCGAAAGTTTTGAAAGGACTCGCACAGTGTGTCTGTTTGGTATAACTTTTGAATAATTTTTTAAAAGAACTTTTAGAGGAGGCTGAGTTAAGATGAAGAAGCAAAACAGAAGTCCTTTCAAATGAGTCTATAATCGAAGAAAATTCATTTCCATATGTATAGATGCATGCAAAATTTCAAGTTCATTTTAAAATTCAAGACCGTTTTCGTTATTTTCGATTAGATTGAACAGATTTCATCGTTTTCGTTAAAATTTGCGGTACGTGAGAAAGAATGGAGATCTAGAGACAGGGTCACATGATTGTTAGTTGGGAACGTGATTTCTTCAGTACTGTGAAGAATATGGGTCCCGATGTTGTTTAATCATCAACAAATTTTGTGGTTTCCCATCCTCTTGGATCGCATTCCATTCTTCAGTTTATTATTTCATTATGGTTAAATAATTGATGCTCATATTCACGATTAAAGGGTATTGAATTCTCATTAGTCATCGCACAGTATACATTTGACAAAAGATCTCGCTCGTCAAAATTATTTGAATAATGCTATTTGTATATACACGATGTGTTAAAATATGATTGGATTAGAATTTTTTCAACTAAATAAAAGTTCAAGGTAATAATTCGTAACATAATTTTTGACGTAATGTCACGTGTCATTCCATCATTGGATCGTTTTAAAAACAATCAGTCACTGTGTATGTTATATTTCTTCTGACAAAGTGACAAAATCCCTAAGATAATTACCATATAAACACGGAGAAAATTCCGCTTCATGCAACTGCACATTTATAACCTAGAAAGGGACCCACACACCACAATTCAATTAGGTTAGTAGTGAATTTTTCATGCAAGTCAATGAGCGGCTCGTCAGTGAACCAACTAATGAGTGAATTATGTAATTTTTACTAAAAAATTGACAAATTGCGAGCGACTCGACTCGATTTAACTCGCGTCTTGATTAGACGAGAATTTGTCTATAAGCAAGTCGAGTCCATCTAACACCCATCACTACATCCATTAGTGCATTGAAAGGTGGATCAATTTTTTACCTACTTGGGACTTGTTATATCACTTCATGTACACCCCGCTGTACACAAAATTTGGCAGATGTCATCGATATCATGAACCGACAGAGCTCTAACTTGCGCCTTTACTGTTCTTCCATAAAATAGGCCTCTAATATATTCTGAAAATGTTTAATAATCAAATCACAAATTCATTCACTCAGAATCTCTCTGCATTTTGCTTGTAAGTCATTCATGGCTCAATTTTTATGCCCAATTTTATTGTTTAAAATTTTAGAGTTTTAAGAGTTTTAATATAATTTTGTAGCTGTTTATGACAGTGTGTGTGTTTAGACTACGCTTATTGAAGTTGTTTTTGTGAATTAATTAATGGTTCCTGATAAACAGCATTATATCAAGACTGTTGGCAGGACTGGGGTTTCGTGGGGTTTTAGTGATGACAAATCTATGAAATTTTGGATTTTCATGGTTTTACTGAGTGTATGAGGTGATCTTTGAGTGGTTCAAACTAATGAGACGCCGCCTGGCGGCAACACCACCTTTAGGAGAACAAATGGAGAAGGGGCAAGGCAAGAATCAACAATCACGGCTATGTTTATTAGTTTCATTATCAGTTTTGTTTTGGACCTTATTGTTGTATTTCCATTATGGGGTACTTGGATGTAGTAGGTTTGTTGCTAGCTTGAGCACATTATCACCAAAAACTGAATCTTCAAATACTCAATTTTGGGGTACTTGGAGGTAGTAGGGTTGTTGATAGCTTGAGCACATTATCACCAAAAACTGAATCTTCAAATACTCGGATGAGTAATTCCAACCAGATCCTTGTTAGTCTCCCCATCACCATTGAGCGTCCTAGAGTTGATGGTGGCTATGAAAAAGAAAAATCAGTTAATAATGTATCGAAAGATGAAAGTGTAAATAATGTGAAGGCGGAAGGTGTGAGAGCGCCACCAGTTATTAGCCATTTGGATAGTCATGAGGTGCAGAATTATCCTTTTATGAGGGCGCTGAGAACAATAGAGAATAAGAGTGATCCGTGTGGAGGGAGGTATATTTATGTTCACGATCTTCCTCCAAAGTTCAATGAGTTATACGAATTCCTCACATTCTCGGACAGCCTTTGGACAAATATGTGCAAGTTCACTACAAATGCTGGGCTTGGTCCGCCATTGGAGAATGTTGAAGGTGTGTTCTCGAACACTGGGTGGTATGCAACTAATCAGTTTGCAGTGGATGTGATCTTTAGTAATCGGATGAAGCAATTTGAGTGTTTAACAAATGATTCATCTCTTGCTGCTGCTATTTTTGTGCCTTTCTATGCCGGTTTTGACATTGCTAGGTATCTTTGGGGGCATAACATATCGACAAGGGATGCTGCGTCTGTTGCTTTAGTTGATTGGCTCATGTCGAGGCCAGAATGGAGCATAATGGGAGGAAAGGATCATTTTCTTGTCGCGGGTAGGATAACTTGGGATTTTAGGAGACTGAGTGACCATGAATCTGACTGGGGGAACAAACTCCTGTTCTTGCCGGCTGCCAAAAACATGTCCATGCTGGTGGTGGAGTCGAGCCCCTGGAATGAGAATGACTTTGGCATCCCTTATCCAACCTACTTCCATCCCGCACGGGATGCCGACGTGTTAATTTGGCAGGACCGAATGAGGAATCTGGAACGCAAGTATCTTTTCTGTTTTGCTGGTGCACCTCGTCCAGACAATACCAAATCAATCAGGGGCCAGATCATTGATCAGTGTAAGAAATCTAAGGTGTGCAAATTACTCGAGTGCGATTTTGGAGAGAGCAAGTGTCACTCTCCTAGCAGTATCATGCAGATGTTTCAGAGCTCTCTTTTCTGCCTGCAGCCTCAGGGCGATTCATATACGAGAAGATCAGCATTTGACTCCATGTTGGCTGGTTGTATACCTGTGTTCTTCCATCCCGGATCAGCCTACACGCAGTACACCTGGCATTTACCGAAGAATTATTCGCAATACTCTGTTTTCATTCCAGAGGATCACATTCGGAAGAGGAATATCAGCATAGAGCAAACACTCAGTCTAGTTTCTCCCGAGAAGGTAAAGCAAATGAGGGAGGCAGTTATAAATCTCATCCCTCAGCTGATATATGCTGATCCTCGTTCTAAATTGGAAACTCTCAAAGACGCCTTTGACGTAGCCGTTCAGGCAGTTATTGACAAAGTTACAAGGTTGAGGAGGGACATCATCAAGGGGTGTAAAGATGATAATTTTATCGAGGAGCTTAGTTGGAAATATGCTTTATTAGATGAAGGTCAAGAGATAGGACCTCATGAATGGGATCCATTTTTCTCTAAACCGAAGCCTGGGAATGCAGATTCTGATAGTTCATCAGCTGATGCAGCTAAAAATTCTTGGAAGAATGAGCAAAGACAACATTCATGACTTGAAGGTGAAGTCTATTTGTGCATCTCCAGCAAATACATGGCAAAAAATGGAGCTTAAAGTGACACTATTTGCTTGAATTTTGTTTAAATCAAGATATGTGAAACTACTTCCCATATAATTAGATTTTTCAACATTTTCACAAGTATTTGTCTTATCATTCTTTTTTATGAATGTCCACTCTCTCATCATGTTCATGTGTGTTTTTGTGTGTTTTATAATATAAAGAAGATAGACTATCTACTGAATATTAGGTTAATGGTCCTGTTTTGTTTTGTCGTTTTCCTTTTTTTGTGGTGGTTAATGAATCTGATTAGGCTTTAGGATGGATTAAATAGGAATAATAGTGATTCTATATGATAATTAAATAATATTTTATCCAACTACCTGATAATTAAACAATATTTTCATCCAACTACCATGGATATAAAATAATTGGATTTCCAAGGCTTACAGTCAAACAGTAAATTGTGTATAATTCTTCTTGCGATTCGATGCTCCCACATCGATAAATAAGCAAAGAGTTTGGATTACTTATCTTAATGAGGTTAACCTTTTAAGATGAAAATTTATATATTATATTAGAATCTATTAAACTCAAATGAGCAATTTGATTGGTTTTAAATTCAAATACGCATCTCGATCTTTTAAAATGTAACACCAAATTTCAATATTAGTAAAAAAATTATGTTGAAAACGAGATGCGACGAGAATTCAATGCAAAGATTGAAAACCTTCTGGTTGGGATTCTCTCCAAACTAATCCCTTCGACGAGTAAGCTTATGTTTGAGCCCTTATTCCATTTACTTGGTCGAATGATGGCACACGAGCCATGCTAGACTCGGAGTGGGAGGTCATAGGTGTCTATACCATAAATGAAAATTTATTTTTGACTGAACGAAAAAGACACACGTGCTAGGATTGAAACCATATAAACATACATAAGAAAATGGTAAGTCCCAATTAGTGACAAGGGCATCAAACAAGTGTGATAAAACATCATCACGGTTGAAAAAGAAAATGCCTGATCCTTCATAAACTGGGATAATATATCAGGTTAGATATACATTTGTATTTAACCTAATTACAGCAACATGAGTTGCATCTCAAGAAAGAAAACAATTGACACAAAAATGTAGGACTAAAAAGATACATAAATTGCCTCATTTTTTGACGAATGATAAGCCATTCGCGTTTGCATATCGTTCCATAAATCTCATAAACCGATCCCACTCTCGTGGAGTTCGCATGACATATTTTGCCTCTATTCCTGCAGGTTTCCCATTCACAAACTTTGCATTAACATCAACTGACTGAAGAACTCCTTCCTCATCAATCATGTAGAATCCAGTAATATCACCTACTTCACTAGACGAGTCAAAAACCGAGGGTTGATCAAACTTGAATATAGCCATACCGTTAGTCCCGTCCCTTGATTTTGTAAGCCTCACATCTGGGGTTGTCTGTTCATCAGTTCCTTGAATGAACTGAATTGTTGGTTTTATCATCATTATACTCAGTCTAGGCATTCTTCGAGTTTGAGTTTGTCTTGGCAAACTTGAATGTGATAGGAACAAAGATTGGCCGTTGAACGATGAGCGCATGCTAGTGTGAACGCCTCCAAATGCCAATCCTACACAATTCGAAATGATCATTTACTGATTGGAACCTTTTCAAGCGTTACAAACTTACAAAAGACCATAATCTAATTTCCAGAGCAATCAAAGTAGAAAACAAACAAATGACATACATATTTCTAGCAATACAAACTTAATGCCAGGTTATGCCCACTTCTCACCGCAGGTTTTACAGTACATTGGAGAAAGATAACATAAATGACTAATTAAATGTGGATAAACTTAGCATCAACACCACAATTTTAGCACTTGTGATTAAGCTCTACACAGTTCAAGACCAACACTAATTTTTCAAATACTTTTCACATTCACTTTGATACCATTAAATGGGATGGATGACACCCAAGCATATAAGAAGGAAGGTGAATCGATGTAGTTCAAATGGGATGCCAACTCCACCTTTCAAGCAAGATTTTGAGAAGAGTTGCTGATGAGAAAAAAAGAACACCTTGGTCACTGAGGCTTGCCTGAACAAAGGAATGTAGGACTTTAACACTTGGTCAGTAACACGATTAGAGGCCTCGGATAGCTTCGAACATGGACGAGACTCATCTGACAAATCAACCTAGAATACAATTTATAAGTTATGTTTGGAGGTATATACGAAGAAGTTTTGGCGGACACGAGGTACTACTTCTAGCCCTTAAATGTTGCTATCGAATTATCTCTATACTTATCTTTAGGACACAATTTACAACCAGAAACACCAGTACAACTTCACAAATACTCCTTTTTTTTTTCCTTCGGCATGCCACAACACGAGGTACTACTTCTAGCCCTTAAATGTTGCTATCGAATTATCTCTATTCTTATCTTTAGGACACAATTTACAACCAGAAACACCAGTACAACTTCACAAATTCTCCTTTTTTTTTTCCTTCGGCATGCCACTAAAATTATTCTATGTAAGAAAAATTGATTCCTCGTAATTAAGGACAGAAGTTTATACATTCAAAGTGGAACCTAAATCCACAATTAACCTTATCTGCTAGTTGAGCCAATTCGAAGGAGCATTCTTCATATCATTGATATAGTGTTGCATTTGAGAATATACTAGCATAGCACATTTTTCCACTGAGGAAGAAATATATATATATATCCTGTCAAAATGTGGGAAGAAGGATGAGGATCAACCAACACAACCAGCAATGCCAATGAGGCTGAGAATTCAATTCAGATACATTTCACTCAGCAAATTCAAAGTTAATTCAAGTTAAATCAATACATTTTCCTCTGTTCTTCTTGCATTCGTATTTTTATATCTATTTTTCTTTTATGGTATCAGAGCCAACTATGGCTCAAAATGAATCCTCAAATGTCAATGATAATCAAGATCAATCACAAAATGAAAACAACCAAACCCAACCTATCTGTGCAAATACAGACCCTGTGGATCCATCTCAGCCAAGCAGTCCATATTTCATTGGAGCCAGCGAAAATTCTGGTGCATTATTAGTTACTCAAATGCTGGATTACAGCAACTATCATTCCTGGGCAAAATCAATGAAGAGTGCCCTTCGAATCAAAAATAAGTTAGGATTCATCAATGGAAGCATTTGTGAGCCAGCTGATGCAAACAGCCCTTTGATGGATCATTGGCTTCGATGTAATGATATTGTTATCACATGGCTACAGAATACAATGTCATTTGACATCAAAGCCAACACGTTGTATGCAGAAACAGCTCACCAGTTGTGGCTAGAACTTGAACAACGTTTAGCACGACATAATGCTCCCAGAATCTATGAAGTGAAGCAATGGATAGCTGCTTTAATACAGAATCAGGACACTATAAGTGTCTATTTCTCAAAACTGAAAACCCTTCTTGATGAACTCGTGAATTATGAATCCATTCCCAACTGCACATGAGGAGGATTGAAGGTTGTAGTGCTCAATCAACAAAGAGATTGGGTAAGGAAATTTCTTATGGGACTAAATGACTCATTCAAGGGAATTAAGGCGCAGATACTTCTAATTAAACCTTTTCCAAACCTGAATGAGGTATATTCAATCATCCAGCAGGAGGAAAAGAGGAGAGAGATATCTAGTGAGGTCCCTAATGCTGAGTCTATGGCTCTAATGGGAAGGTTTACTCCAAGAGAAGGAGGAAGGCAAAACATGGGACCTCAGAAAAAGTATTTTTGCACCTTCTGCAAGATAGCAGGCCACTCCATTAATAAATGCTTTAAGGCTAATCCTGACAAACCAATATGCACATACTGTCGAATGCCTGGTCATTCAGTGGATAAGTGCTTCAAAATCCATGGATATCCACCGGGCCACAAGCTATATGGAAGGCAACGAGGTGCTACACTCTTTGCAAATCAGGTTGCAACTCTTCTAGCTACTGAACAGGAACAATGATGTAACAGCAGCCAAGTATCTCTAACTCAGGAGCAATATAATCAGCCCATGACATTACTCAAGTTACAGAGCACACAGCCTCACACCTCCTTAGCCAACCAAGTGCAAACTCTCATACCATCATCCTCAAATAGATTCAATATGCCAAAGATCTCTGGTATTTCCTTCTGTTCATCCACCTATATCACAAAGCCTCAAAGGGACTCTAATATCCCATGGATCATAGATACTGGAGCTACAGATCATATGATCCGCTCTCCATCAATTTTTACAACCATCAAAGGAAAAGTTTCACACTCTGTTACACTTCCAAATTGAAACATTGTTCCTGTCACTCATATAGGAACCATTAAGATAACAGGCACACTGTTCCTAGATGATGTTTTGTGTGTCCCGCCTTTCTCTTTCAATCTTATTTCAGCGAGAAGATTAACACAAACATCAAAGTGTTGCTTCATTTTTTCTTCCAAATCTTGTTTTGTGCAAGACCTTTCAACTTGGAAGACGATTGGAATGGCTAAAGTGAGGGAGGGGCTGTACCACTTGCTGAAAGAAGAAGTCTCTCCTGCAGCCTTGATAGATTTTTTACCTACCTTCATTAACAAAACCTCCACATTAGCTTTTGTCATCAAATCTAAAGAATTTGATCTATGGTACTATAGATTGGGGCACCCTTCAGATTCTAGAATAAGTCTACTGAATTTTGATCATATATCTAAACAAACAAAACCAAAGAAACCATGTCCTGTTTGCCCTTTAGCCAAGTTGCACAAACTGCCATTTAATATCAATCAGCATTTGTTAAAAGATTGCTTTGAATTAGTCCATTGTGACTTATGGGAACCATGTAATGAAACAGCTTATGATGGATCAAAGTATTTTCTCACCATTGTTGATGATTTTAGCAGATGTACTTGGATTCACTTGCTTAAATTAAAATCTGAAGCTTCTAACACTCTACAGAATTTCTGCAATATGATAGAAACCCAATTTGAAGCCAAAGTTAAAGTGATTAGGAGTGACAATGGTGGAAAGTTTGATATGAAGGAATTCTACTTAAAAAGAGGGATCATACATCAAAGAACATGGGTAGAAACACCCCAACAAAATGCAATAGTTGAGAGAAAACACCAACACATTCTAAAGGTAGCTAGAGCCCTAAAATTCCAAAGTGGGATCCCTATGAGGTATTGGAGTGATTGTGTCTTAACTGCAGTTTTCCTCATTAATAGGACGCCTACTCCTCTACTTGACAATAAAACGCCATTTGAACTTCTATTCAAAAGCAAACATGCATATTCTCACCTTAGAGTTTTTGGATGTCTTGCTTTTGCATCTACTCTCACACATAACAGACATAAATTTGATCCAAGGGCTAGAAAATGCATCTTCCTAGGATATCCTTATGGAATCAAAGGTTACAAGCTGCTAGACCTTGAATCAAACAAGATATTCATTTCTAGAAATGTTGTCTTCTATGAAAACAATCTCCCTTACAAAAATTCAAAAATGGAATCTGAGCATACTCTTCCAAGCCCCAATGACTTAATCTATTCTCACCCTACAACTATTGATTTAAATTACCCTGGAAACCAATCCACTCAGTCTTCAACAGAACCTGCATGGAACTTACAGCAGACTCCAAGTCCAAGCACTTCAACTGAACAATCTGATTATTTCCAAAACACCTCTATAACTCCTTATCAACCTTGCATATCTACTAGGATCAGGAGAGCTCCTTCATACTTGCAGGATTTTGTGTGCCAGCAAGCTACCTCACTACCCCATTCACAAGAGTTGGATAAGGATAAAGGTCTTGCTAAACCAGGTGCCCCCTATCCTTTATGTGCTACTTTGTCATATCATAAAATATCTGAATCACATAAAGCTTTTATTACATCCATCTCCACACACAGAGAACCAAATTCATATCAACAGGCAGTCAAATGCCTTGAATGGAGGGATGCCATGAATGCTGAAATAAAAGCTTTAGAGTTGAATGATACTTGGGCCGTGACAAACTTACCACCTGGAAAGGTAGCTATCGGATGCAAATGGGTTTACAAAATCAAATTCAAAGCAGATGGGACAGTGGAAAGAAAGAAAGCAAGACTAGTAGCAAAGGGATATAAGCAAGTCGAAGGCCTTGACTATCATAAAACCTTCTCACCTGTGGCAAAGATGATGACTATGAGGACCTTACTAACTATAGCAGCAATCAAAGGATGGCATTTACACCAACTAGATGTCAACAATGCATTTTTACATGGAGAATTGAACGAAGAAGTTTACATGGAACTTCCATCGGGCTATCTAGAAAATGGTCAGACAAAGGTATGCAAACTAAACAAGAGTTTGTATGGATTTAAGCAAGCCTCTAGACAATGGTACTCAAAGTTGTCTTCTTTTATTCTTCAACAAGGTTTTCAACAATCGAAATCAGACTATAGTTTGTTCACAAGAAGCATGGATGATTCGTTTACAGTTATACTTGTGTATGTTGATGATGTTATAATAGCAGGTAACAACATGGAAGTTATTCACTCTCTCAAAAATTCACTTGATGAAAAGTTCAGAATCAAAGACTTGGGTACCCTGATGTATTTCCTTGGTGTAGAGGTGGCCAGGTCAAAAAGAGGAATTCACATTTGTCAAAGGAAATACGCATAGCATATTCTAACTGATTCAGGAATGATTGGAGCAGTGTCGGTTCAAGTGCCACTAGATCAAAATGTCAAATTCTCTAAGGATCAAAGAGAGCCCTTATCAGACCCTTCTGTCTATAGAAGACTTATTGGGAGATTGTTGTATTTGACTGTCACGAGGCCTGATTTGGCATACTCGGTTCAATTACTTAGTCAGTACATGCACAGTCCAAGAATGCCCCATTTAAATGCTGTATATAAGGTATTAAGGTACATAAAAAGAGCGCCAGGCCAAGGATTATTTTTTTCCTCAACATCAAACCTTCAACTTAGAGCTTACAATGACTCTGATTGGGAGGCATGTCTGGATACACGGAGATCAATAATAGGATATTGCGTCTTCATTGGTGCTTCCTTAGTGTCTTGGAAATCAAAGAAACAGAACACCATTTCTAGATAATCAGCGGAAGCTGAATATAGAGCTATGGCTAGTGTCTGTTGCGAATTATCTTAGCTCAGATACTTGCTGCATGATCTACAATTACTCATCCTCAAGCTGCCTTGCTATCCTGTGATAACCAAGCAGCATTACATATAGCAGTCAATCCTGTTTTTCACGAGAGAACCAAGCATATAGAGCTCGATTGTCATATAGAACCAATCATATAGAGCTTGATTGTCATCTGGTCCGTGACAAGATTCAAGAGGGTAGTATAGTTACAAATTATTTGAGGAGTGACTCACAACTTGCGGATATGTTAACAAAACCATTGTGCTCAAGGATTTTCTATCCCCACTTGCTCAAGATGGGAGTAGAAGACATCTACTCTCCATCTTGTGGGGGGCTGTCAAAATGTGGGAAGAAGGATGAGGATCAACCAACGCAACCAGCAATGCCAACGAGGCTGAATAGTCAGCAATGCCAAGCAAGATTGGAAGAATCTGGAAGAAGATGAGCTGGAAGAACCTGCACACGCTTTTCTGTTATTTCCCCTTTCTGTTGTGAAATTTTGTTAGGAGATTCTTTTATTTGTTGTATATATATTGTGGGTAATGCTACATGTACACACATACTTTTACACAATCTTTTACACCTCTCTCACATGGAGGGGGGTCCACGATTATTTTATTATGTGTGGGCCCCCTTCCATGTGAGAGATGTGTAAAAGATTGTGTAAAAAATTGTGTACACTTAGCATTATTCGTATATTGTAAGTAGGCTTGGTTGTATTTATCAGTGAAATTGAGAATTCAATTCAGATACATTTCACTCAGCAAATTCAAAGTTAATTCAAGTTAAATCAATACATTTTCCTCTGTTCTTCTTGCATTCTATTTCTACATCTATTTTCCTTTTATATCCACTAGTTTATTGTACCATAACATTAAAAATAAATAAATAAAACTGAAAAAATTCAGAAGAAAATTGCCACAACAAGGTAAAAAAGAAAAGAAAAGGGTACTAATAGCACATAATTCAATAAAATAATAGCCAGACATTCTATTTTCTGCACTTATTTACTATTTACTGACCCCTGTATATGTATGTGATACAAATTTTGGTAGTTATATATGTGATTATGAAATTATCATAAAAATTTTTAAAAAGATTTGAAGAAATTAAGAAAAAATGGTCTCAGAAAAATGTAACTACATTGGCTAATCTTCAGCAAATTTCAGACAAGCATTTCTTTTTTCATTTCATCGCATGATATTAGACCAAGAAAATCCAGGAAAATTGCAAGGAGACGAAGCATTTATATAACCAAGAAAAGGGATTAAAATTATAAATGAGTAAAAGGGGCAACCTGGAAGGGAGTAGGGTTGGTGAGAATAGTGAGATATTGGAAAAGAAATTGCAAAAGACTGTAGCAATGCCATTGTTGAGGCTTATTCTTGTCTAGAGTGAGAGAAGGAAATGTTCTAGTGAGAGAAAAATACGTAGCATAGAGATATGATGATGATGTGGTATGAAGTGTAAGAGGGTGGTGTGTAATGAGGACAGCCATTCACTTGAAAACATTGTTAGCTTTTCAAAGGACTGGCTTGTGATACATCTTTGAACATTTAAAAGGGAGAAAAATTAGGTTTGTACTCTTTTAACTTTTTAATTAGTATGACTTTGGGTTTTTATCTTCAAGAGTGATGTCTGGATCTTTAATCTATTTAAACATATGAATCTATGTCCTCTCGTAACAAAAATTATCGTGTGAACATTAAAATTGTATGTAAAAATCCCGTTAAATGTGGGTTCTCAAGTTCGATTTTTAACCATTTTCCCTTTTAATTTTAATATTCACATTGATAGTTTTTGTCGCATATTTAAATAGGTGAGAATTCAAAACTTCACTCTTGAATTTTGGAGAGCCAATACAATACTCTAATTGGAAGGTTAAGAGAAGTCCTAATTTTTCCTATAATCAAACATGAAACTTATTGGGCTGGACATGTGGCAAGTTGGTAGAGCTAGGCCCAATTGTTTATGGGCTGTAGTTTTTTATGCTGGGGAAATTATAAAAAATCAGGGGTTTAAATATGACTTTTTAAAAATCAGGTCCAAAATTTATTTATTCAAAAATCAGGTAATATATTAAAACCATAACCCTAATTTATCACTCTCAACTCCCTCACCCCTCTCTATCTCTCTCTCGCGCATCCTCTCCCCTCCCCTTCCCTCTCACGTTCTCTCTCTCTAAACCAACTCATTGCCTCCCTCTTATCGCCGTCGCCCGTCGTCATCGCCCAAACCCATCACCACCCTCAATCCATATTGCTGGTCAGAGGAGTTCGAATTGCTTGGACTGAAGGTTGAGTTTCAAATCTAAAATCTCTGAAAATCCTCTCTTCCCGATAATTCTAATCGAGTCACTTTCACTGGTTTTTTTGTTGTGGATCTGCGGTTTTGAGGGATGGTGATGGAGGTGGTTTTTGAGATTTTTTTGTTGTCAATGGTGTATGTGGATCTGGAGATGTTAGTGGTGGATTTTGGCGGTGGTGAGGTGGTGGATTTGACACTGTTGGTTGTGGTAAGGTAATGGTCGCAAATGGCTATTGTGT